ATGAGAAGTGCTGTATGAAAAAGGCGCTTGGCGGTTGAATATGCGGAAATATGCAAAATACGTCTGAACTGTGATAATAACACTTGGACAAATCGCGAACTCGATAAAGTATCAAAGTGTTTTAGGAATTTCAGATATATAAACAATGAATATTCCTGGCTAGGAGGTTGGAGGAGGGCGGGAGCCTGAAATTGTCTATGCGTTAACATGTGTAGTTTCTTTGGCATTGCGTTGGCCCACCGCGAAGAGGAAGACAATCGAATTTTGATAATTAATGAAAGCACTGAAAGTGCCATTTAGATCTCCCAAACAGGCAAGCCTGTACGTACAGTGACTTAATAGACTGTCAGTGTTTCGTCTCTAAGCTGTAAACACAGACGGCAGAATCGGTGCGAAATGGAATGGGAATCATCAGAATTTCGCATTCATAGTGCTGCATTTGCTCAGTTATGCAGGCTATCTCTTTTCCAGTTGTTCTGACCAATAGTCAGGTGGTCAGTTTGCTGGTGATCCTGACGTTCGTTCCGTTTCCTGAACGGTTTATCAGGTAAACGAGAACTTTGGTAACATTTTAGTTGTTTCGAGTCGTCAATGGTACGTGCTGAGCATCACCATCTGGTCTTGAACATAGCCATTCATAGACAATGGCCAATTACCTCAACTGATTAGAACTTGCCCCGTTTTTTTATGCGTTTTTGTTTATATGCAAATTGCAAAAACGCATATTGTGACGACCCATGGTGTGCGTGTGTGTGTTTATGTTCGTATGTGTGTGTGTATGTTCTTGTCTGTGTATGTGCGTGTGTCCGTCTGTCTGTCCGGGTATTTCAGTCCGACACCCAAGCAGGCTCCGGCGCCAAAACTTTGCCTACAGATTCCCCGACCAAATGCCACTCCAGGACTGAGGCATCAATTTTTACGTAAGTGTGGGCCCAGCATACGAGAGGATGGAAGTTTTGGCGGGAAGAATTGCTAACTCGGCGACCAGGAGAGCTGGAAGACTAGATTGAAATTTTAAGGGGATGTTCCCTGTCTAACTTTGCATAGGCAAATAATTTCCCAAAGTTTGAGAAACAGTATGTCACATATTTCTAACTGCTGGGTTTCTGAGCGATCACACTACAGCGCCAAATACTGCAAAAATGCATGATCGCACGGGCCTGCCCGGTGCGCGTCGCCAGTGATTTTTTATCAAAAATATGGCACCAATCAAAATTTTCCACAAAAAAAGAACGTAAAAAATAAGAGTTTGGGCGACAAAAAAATCCCAAGGAATAGCCCAAAATTTCTGCTTTTTACATCCTCATAAAAGTGGAAATATCCTCACACTGAACAATCGCGTGGGTTTCTGACTTTTGCCAGTTGGACAACCAATCCCTCTGCAATTCGACTTATTATACGTTTTGTATTGTGTAACAGCAGTACAAAACGCATATTGTTACGGGGTTGTCTGTGTGTGTGTTTGTGTGTGTGTGTGTGTCCGCAGCAACTTGTCCGCAGCTTTCAACTCGGGAACCACAAAAGCTAGGAAGTTGAAAATTTAGGGGAACGTTCCACCCACGTGTGACCCCGCAAATTTAAATTCAGCTTCCCCGTACCCACGGGTAACGCGTACGGCCCCTTGAAAGTTTTTCACGA